CGGACTAGGAACTTATCAGCGTGTTCGGATAAATTAACAAGCGAAGTAACCAATACAAAATCACAAAATCACAATGGGAAAAGAATGGGTAGTCAAATGGTGACTCATGAATGTGTAGATCCAATAGTCCACTACACCGATCCAAACGCAGTAACTGGCTGTGAAAGGAAATATTCACTTGTCGAAAGTTCCCACAGATGGTTCCGCGTGAGTGATATATTCCACGGTAGGAAAATTATTCACGGCTAAAAAGTGTCACAGGGATTTATTGCGACGTTCAACAGTTGACACAAACACAGAGATTTAGTCCCACTGGTTCAGCAGTCAACAAACAGTTCAACGGAGCGTAAATACGCTCGTTCAGCAAGAAGTCAGCAGGTCGCGCCGGAAAATTGTGTATTCGTAACATTAAAACAAACGTCATGATACAGTATGAACGACAGTTACAAAGTATGGTTTAAGTTCAGGAAGAACGGTAAATGTGACAACGGATTATAGACACTAGAAGTTGCGCTTCTTCAAACTGTTTTTTGTTACTGCTCCAGTAGCTTTCTTAGTTGATAAAATTCGATCGACATCGTGAGCTCTCGTTCACCAATTGCGGTGACGATATTTTCCTCGCCTTATTTCTCGGCCTGTTCCTTCCAAGCTAGCGTTCACCTCAGAACAAACACCACAGATATACAGGGTATATTCATGTCCGATGGGAAGTCGTGATTGGGTGTTGGGTCCACACTTTTGACTAATCAGACCTCGGCTTGGTGCGGACCGGCAAATGTCCCGAACTTTTGGTCAGTCTTGCACGGGATAAACTTCTAGGCCGTAGCAGTACGCGGAGTCCCTGTGGAATTACGCGTTATAGCGAACAACTGTATCAACAGTGAGATCTCCAACTACATTGCGCAGTATTCGGCACCGGGTAGCTAGAACCTTACCGTACGTACTTTCCGCAGTATCGAGATGTTTGAACTCTGGGAGAAGAGACCGTGCCCCACAGGTTTGTGGGATGTGGCTGATTATGAGGTCCTTCGGTAGATGTAGCCAGCCACGAATAGATTCCACTATGTAACTGTTCAACCTTTTGAGCGTGTTCCGGTGGCCTTGGCCGAGAGCGAGCGGATATACCAGCCGCGGTATCAAACAGTTCCTTGTTAACTTGATCCTTTGGTGTGGCTTGAACGACGCCCGCGTCACCTCATCAAGCGGTATGAGGGTTGCTCTCGATGGCTGCAGACTGCTTTCTTTCTGGAAATAGAGAGGACCCCACGTTTGTGGCGGTTTCTGTCATACCCAAAGGGGTGATGAGTCCATCGACGAAGCAGAAAATTTCAACCGAGACAGCGGTTTTCTGTCTCCTCAGCTTGCCATTGCTTTCATCTGTCAGGCGTTCATCTTCATACAAACTTTCCAGCTTGATGGCAGCAGCTTGCTTCTTTTTTAGGTTAGCCTGTCTTTCTGCACACACGACCCATTCGTCAGTGCAAACAAAACCATCCACCAAGTTGTCATGGTACTAGTATCTTAGTTGCGGCGTCGACAATGCAAGAACCTCCTCAATTGCCATGATGAACAGCAATGGCCAGAATGGATCCCCTGATACATGAATTCATGCCTCCTCATGCCCCATGCTCGATTGAACTCCAGTAGGATGGTAGAACCGCGCGACTTGGCCGGCAATCCACGTTTTTTGGAGCAGAGCGCACTTGCTTCCAATGCTACTCGGCGTCCAGAAGTAGACCGCAGTTAACTTTGTATGGATCCTTCCACGATTCTCCGAGCACAGCAAACGTTTCATCTTTCCGTCTTGTCATGAGTCCAGACCGCAATCCTCGGGAAAGTGCCAGAAGTTCAATACTAGCAAGCGAACTGTTAGAATGGGATTCCAAGAGTGACCTGGTGCAACCCACGGTTCGTTTAAGCCAGGCGCCACAGTCATCAGCTAGGCACCGATAAGGTGTTACAGCTAAACGGTTGTCTTTCATCTCATCTTTTAGTCACCATATCCTTACGAATAGGCAGCTATTTGACCGATGGTTTGGCCAGGGTCAATGTATAATGATTTGTCCTATTATCCTTGCCAGTTGCCTGGTATTGATTCTGCCGAACAACCGGGAAACATTGCTCCAATCTCACAAATAGTGTGGTTTGCATGTTACAAACGGATATAGATTGTTAGAGATTGCTCAGTGGTTAGTGTGCGAGTTCACTAACCAGAAGGTCCGTGGTTGAAACCTGACCTCCAATCAACCCAACCAACCTGGCGGTATCCCATCCCTCGGCTTTCTTCGGGTGGCATGGAAGCTAGGCACCGAGATGGTGTTAAGCTGAACATTAGATTGTTAGTCATCTTCCTGGATGAGAACTCCGAGACCGGCCAAATCAACGGTTAGAGACATTGTCAAAAATGACCCAGTCGCGCCCTGAATGGCGCTCGTGCTTACAAGCTATTGACTTCAATGCATAGCTCCTTTCCCAATCCCCACCTAACAGTCCACTGACAGTCCTGTATTTACGCACCAATTTATTGGCTCCCGCCTCCAACGCACAGCTACCTCTTCTAACTCCCCAAATCACCGGTGAACGAAACTGTACCAGGTACAACCACTCTACGGTACGCTGATAATGATGATGGTGAGACAGGCTCAAGAGTGATTGTGACTCTTTTTGGAGCCTAAGGACACCGTAGTTCTTCACTCGACCAGGCTTATCTGCATTGTGGTGGGTGGGTAGTACGTTCCGGCGGCGTTGACTTAGGTGAATCTTAGACGAGGGTGGGAACAATCACCGGAAGCCAGTTCGGCCACCACGTTCATGAACGTGAACTCGATGGTGGGTTGTCAAGCCAGCTCTCGATTTGAAGCACTTGCCACATCCCTCACACGCGAGTCCCACGAGTCTCTCCTGTGCACTGGTTGGAACTGTCAAGGGTAGCCAGACAAGGTGGTTTCCCCTGCTTGAAGTTTTGTAAGTCTTATCCCACCCAAACTGATGTCCGGGTCACTACCTATATTGCTATCTCCGGATGATCCCGCATCTGCTACAGCGGGCTGGACAGGCGTTTCAGTAGCTCGATAATGAATGCGTGAATGGATACTTGACTGGATACCTGTAAACAACGGATTTTCTGTTGACAGCATTTCACTGACAAGATAGCGAATACCCATTTTCCTTTTTGTTTTTGAAATGACGAACCACAGCTAATTTATCCGAGGACACCTGTCCGGAACTGGCCACAATCTTGGCTGTCACGAAGATCTCGGGGGTGTGTTATCAAGCCGGGAAAATCAGAAACTGATCGCTAGATTTGACCCAATAGACTAGCTCCATACACAACACCATGAACTCGCAATCACTGTCAGTAGGACGGTAAATAGAGTGGTGAATTTATAAATGTCCATCTCACAAGAGGTGCCACTGCGTGTTTCAAAGGAACATACAGGGTATGACTGCCATTGCTGCTTGCCCAGCAACATTTTAGACTCCACGGCAGAAAAGCCATTTTGATAAACAGCTGCAAACTGGTATTACATGGGTTTCATGGTGAGGGATTTTCACTATCGTAGAATTCACTGGATAGTGACAGGATTATCGTGCGTTTACCTTTAAAGACCAACAAGTTGGGAGAAGACGGTTAGAGAGGCTGCTAGGTGGCTATGTAGCACAACTCAGAGTTGTACGCCGAGTCGTTGCCTAAAGGTTGTCAAAAGAAAGATGTTCAGATGCTGCATCCTCACAGTGCATAACTGCCGCTCAACCGCAAGGGAGAGGCGCAAGCTGTGAACTACTTCCTACTCTCGTACTAGCGGGGTGGATACTTACGGAACCCTTGGCGTGGTAGAAGTGTGGGACAAACTTAGGTAGTTGGACCTTTGGTCCGCTCAATAGGCATATCAGCAAGCATGACTTTTGCTTCTGAATGGAACCAATTGACATAGAAGACTTTCTTCTAGTTCAGGTGTCGTAGTAATTCCGGTTATCACCCATGGGAACTACGTAATCGGCATCTTTTACAGAGGAGATATGCAGAATATTCCCCTTGGCAGCTCTCAAAAGCGTAGTTTAAGGGACTGGGAATAGGGAACATCTATGGCTCAAATCTAAATCGGTGAAATCCCCCTGTGCACACGGACATGGTTTTATTTGCGGAGTAATAGGACCTGATTAAGTTAACCTTTATCCCAAATACCAGTGTAACGGTGATACTACTGTCGGGAGGCAACGCGAGTAGTATGTGTTGTTCGTAGAATTTCGCTTTGCGTCGACTGAAAAAGGGAATTCTGTTGCGGAATTCGTGGGCCCACTTTGTAACATTTGCTTGGATTTGACAGACGAATGAGTGGAGGCAACGAATCTCTAGGAGGACTCGTTCGGGAGAAGATCTGTGTCCAGTTTTTTGTAACTAAGATGCAGATTAGAGTTTTGCTTCCCTGTTCAATGGCCTGTAACCCGTCAGTTGGCATTTCCGAATAAATAACTCCGCAGCGAAGGCCTTCTTCCTTTCACCAGTGTTACTGTCATGATCAATGAAGATCAATCTCTGTCTTTCATTAGGACAAACGGATGCTTGAAAGGCCTCATAAGTTTATGAAATCAGGGCTTCTAAACCACTCGGTCGCGCCAACTATGCCAAACCTGTACTGCCTACCACTATATGACTACTTGACACTTGAGAAACTAACTTCCTGATCGTTATGAAACTTGATTTTTATTCAATCGTTATCGCAGGGCAATGAATTAGTGAGAACATTTGATTTCCGAGGAAGTGCAATTGGAAACTCTGGTACTTAGCAAGCATTAGGCACTTCGTTTCTTCTCTGCAAAGTACTTAATGGGTTGCAGTTTAAGATTTACAGGATGGAACCGATGTCTGGATGTGACCCTATCCCAGTTTTCTTCAGAACTTTCCGGTTTCCCTAGCAAATGGCTTACCTAGCTACTAATTGCATAGCCATTACAAGTACACTTTTATCGGCTTGTTTTTTCGGTTCCTCTTATTTCAGGTCATCTGATTTCCATTCCCGTAATTTTATCACTGTTCGCTTAAAGGATGCCTCACGAACGCATTATTGATTACTTTTACACCTGTGGATTAAATGAACAAATGGGATTGCAGTTGTGCAATTTTAGTAAGTCTTTTCTCTGATGGTCCACACCTCTGCACTCACCGTAGATCAGACACCTCCCAGTCGCGGGTTGCTGCCATTGCAAAGGCCGTATAAGTGTACCGTGCTGCAGCACTTTCCAGATTATGTTCTCAACTGCCCGTTTGACGCAGAATCTACTAGCATGGTGAGTTGCCGTGGATTTTACAGATAATTGGTGGATGCAGGTTACAATGCCCAATGGTTTGTGGCTGTGTACACAGCGCAAAGTTACTTTGAAATACTCCCGTCCACGCTACCATACGTTCATTATAACTCGGGAAGATGGTAGCCGTGTATACGGCCTTGCGTTGTTATTCCTGACGGAGTTGGCTCACGAAAACGTGAAGGAAGCAGTGTGTTCACTTCAGGATCTGTGCTTGGCAGAAAACCCGTCCATCACGAAAGATGTCGATGACATGACAGACTGGCCGTCACTTTTCGATAAGAATCGGGACACGCTGTACGCGATGAAGGTGAGATTTACGTCGGCGTCTAGTCGACCTTCAGGTTTCCATTATTTATATCTGTTCATCAAGGGCGAGTCTACCGAGGAATTGAAGACTCATTATTCCCAAGTGAATTAGGCTTTGAACGCTTTTCGTGGCGTTTTTCAGCTCCACAGGTTGGAGCTGATCTCATGGTTCTCATTCTATTTCTTCTCATTGGAAGGCAATGGAGTTTAACTCATCTCGGACCATATCTGGCATTGCAACTTTCTGTCTTGTACCTCGGTCTATGTCGGTCGGTATATTACGGCTTACGATCAGCAGCTATTTGCGGTTTACTTCCGCATACTGCTTTCTTTACTGTGTAATATAGTTAGCATCCAGGCTACATGTGAAAAATTTAGAAGGGCACTTTTTTGTTTATACCATTCAATCTCTAATCTGTTTGGTATTTTGAGGATTGCCCTTAAAAAGAGAACTCGAATTCGACCTATTTTTCCCTCCTCATTATTCTGACTTGCACATATTCCGGTTAACAATTTTCATACCCCTATCGTGCACTCTTTTTAACAGGCGATCGGACTGCTTTCTCGATACCCTTTTATCCATGGATTGTTTGGCTGGCTGGAGGATTTGTGGGCTGCAATGTTCATCGCTTCTCCTAATCCAGATATTGCGATTGAGTCTTACATTGCCAAACTGCTGTACGCCACTCCCCTTCCTGAGGCCGGTCAGTTTGTTTCTTTCCGTGGACCGTTCCGGAAGCATCTTGGTTACTATCCAGGTGAGACTGGTCTACCATCTAGTAAGCTAGTAAACTAGTTTTTGTCTGTTCATTTCACGTGTCCAGTCAGGACGTGTTACCGGTATGTGGGTGGGCTGATGAATGTCAGTGAATTTTACGACTAACTTAATAACTTAAGTTGCCATAACAAATTTAGTATGGAGATGGAATCAATGTCTGGCACACTCAATCAACGTTCAGCTGTAACACCCTTTCGGTGCCCAGCCACCATACCACCCGAAGGCTGAGATATTGTCAGGTTGCCCAAGCATAGACATAAGCGATCGAGATGCCGAGGCCGGGTCAAACCACGGACCTTTCGGTCAGCAAGTTCGAGCTTAAACCACTGAATCTCAAGCGTACGACTAACTTAATAACTTAAGTTGCCATAACAAATTTAGTATGGAGATGGAATCAATGTCTGGCACACTCAATCAACGTTCAGCTGTAACACCCTTTCGGTGCCCAGCCACCATACCACCCGAAGGCTGAGATATTGTCAGGTTGCCCAAGCATAGACATAAGCGATCGAGATGCCGAGGCCGGGTCAAACCACGGACCTTTCGGTCAGCAAGTTCGAGCTTAAACCACTGAGATCTCAAGCGCACACGCTGCTCACCTTGAACTGTATGACGCATGAGATTGATGGAAAACTGACACGGGTGGTTTTAAACTATTCGTCGACTCGTCCTAATGCAGTTTTTGTGATTATCACCTTGCCGATGAGGCGAGTAAAAGAGTAAAGGATCTATGCACAGAAGTTTTCACCAAACGTTCTTATACTGAAGAGTGTGTTTGTTCTTCGCAGGTGTGAAAATCTTGTCCCTACTTTGTAATATTCCTCTCTGTAATGGACACTCCCTTGATCGTCTTCTTCTAAGTATGGATTCAATCTGCTGTCACCTTTAAGGTTTTTTTCTGGCCCTATGCTACAACTTTTGGTTGAGAAGCCCACTTAAAAGTTTCTGAGCTCCTTTTTTCGGATGATTATACTTGCTCACTACAGTTTGAAAAGGCTGACTGTCACTACCATAAAATTAATAAAAACCGTGCATTTGGCCTGTGTTTATTGCTCTAGTACCACTTCTCAACATGTACTGACATTTTTCTGTTTTTCACTCTTAGCTCCGCTTAAATCGATAGGATCGCTCTTGGACGGATCGTTCCAGTCACCTGATGCAATGGAACTGCCACTGTTCGAATACTCATTTTTGGAGTTGTTACGGTTGCTTCCTTTAGACGGTCTGCTGAAGCTGTTTGCCTGTGTTTTGATGGAACATCGAATCATACTTCACTCAACCGGTGGGTTTTTTTTATGAAATTTACTTTTTTGATGTTTGCTGCCTGGTGCTTTGAGCTTAACCGGCTGTGTATGTGTCCCGTTTTACGTTCGCATCACAATGTATTTGGCTCTTAGGTCTTCCCAAACGGGAGAACAATGTTGGTTTCAGCAGAGATTTAGGCACTCAGTGCCAGACTATCGGGTGTCTCCCCATACCCTTCATTGTTTCGTACTGGAGATTCCAACTTCTGTGTAGTTTGGGGGAAAAACGCGCTCGGGGCAACGTAATTAATCTATCAAAGTTGTCACCGCCGCCCAAACTGTTCAACTTGAATGGCCCTTTAACATTTTCAATGATCTGTTCCGATCAGTATCTGACTCTGAGAGCCCACCGCAGGAATGTCCAATGAGCGTCATTGATCTACGACCAGTATCTACAATTTTCATCGACCAGGTTTCGCTAGCATAGAGAGAGATTTCCCAGATGACATAGTCGTGGACGAACCCGTCTTTCACAGATTAGGCTATCATAATATGCATATTGTCTAATTTAGAGGCTCCAATCCTCGGGTCATTAAGAAAAATGCAGTAAAGAGGTCGGGTGTAGACTGAAATCGAAAGTTCTTCGGATCGGGTTTGATCCTCAATCTCTGCTCTGTTTGAATTCTGGATGGAAACTGTCAGAGTCAAGAGCACCAACCCTGTACCCACTTAGATAAAGAGAACTTGCTTTGTGCAGACCACTGACCGAAGGACTGTCACATTTCCCTTCAGTTGTCTGTTTTTTTGATGTATTCTACACGAAAGGAGGATTACGTCAGGCACTGACGTAAACACTGTTCCCCCAGTATTTTCCAAACCTTCATCTCCTGGTTTATATTGTTCCTCTGTCCGATCACAGTATACTACCGCCTGATGCTGGTTGCCGAATGCATCACCTGCTTGCTCCTTCCTTTCTCGTGGTCACACGTGTACGCGCCCATTCTTCCTCTCTCATTGGTGCATTTCGTTGATGCCCCGGTTCCATACATCATGGGGATTAAGCAGTGTGAATTTATGGTTGCTTCACAACATCAAATCGATTCATCGTCGTCCGATACGTGGTCTCTGCACGACTGTCACGTTGACTGTTCAGACAACACCGAGTTGGCCAGTGAGGTAGGCACCTTTTCTCCATTTGCTTGTTTTGACGACCTCCCTTTCCTCTCTGCTCACGGAGAATTTTTCCTTGAGTCCAGTATCTTTTCACAAATCCCTCAAGCGTATCTTCTGTTTCGTTTGTTGTTACAGGCCAATGTGTGTCACGTCTATATAGACGAGGGTCGTGTGCTTGTGCCCGATGAGGTACCACAATTTCCCAACGCCGAACATATTAAGCATACTGTCACCGGTTTACTCAGGGATGCTGCTTTGGCCGCCTCAGGTAACACTTCTGACTGTTCTGAACTGTGTCCAATTTATGGTGTCCCTTGCACTCTCAGTAGTTTGTTATATACCCAGTTTTTTCGTATTCCCAACGATGGTGATGGGCAAATCTGGGTCACAGTCGAGTTCAACCTACGCGCCTCCCTACTAGCAATTCTGTACCCTAACCATTAAACTGTATTGAGCAAGGCAATCCGCGTATTGAGTAGTAAGTGAATCAGTGCGGACTGGTGGAATGTGAATGTCCATACTGACCTTGTTATAAGATGCAGTGGATCTTGCCACAGGATGTTTGGAGCTGCCTTATGATTAGCCCTGAATAGTAGTTCTTCCGTACCGTATTCAAGTGGTCTCCTCATCCAGTCCCTACATTCTGGCCTGATCCTGAGAACTGGTGATTCCTCTTCGTAACTGTCAGATTGTCATTTTCGGGAAGATTGTGGGAGTTGGATAAAAAAGGAGCCTCCAACGTCTCTCAGGTTTTGTTCAAGAAAGCTCTGTTTAGCTTTTTATTGAACATTAGGACCCGCAAAGCAGCACTGCGATCCATGGAGCTCAAAATCTTCCATGATTTTGCATTCGCTTCCTATATAGTCCGGATGTAGTCCTCTCACCCATGCTACCTACACACACATCCACCGGTAAACCGAAAGCAATACAGCTGAGAACTGAAGCGGGACAGCCAGTAATCGTTTAACATTTTTAGGAACCGGTTGCTTCCTCCGCCCCTAGTGTATATTGTATTGCCAACGTGGCCAGCTCCGTTCAACAGACTACCACTTCTCACTCACCATTCGCCTCATTAAAACCATTGATCAGAGTTTCTTTACGAAAGGAACCCCGAATTATAGGTTACTCATGGGCATTCTGACAGAATAACGGAGCCAAATGAAGCATCCACTAATTTCGTTTTTAAGTATTCTTTATGTAGATATCCTTGTTTGTAATCGGTCTCGAGGGTTGAGTGTAAGATCACCGGAAAGTGATAGCAAATTACCTGTCGTCATAGAAAAATTGACTAAAATGCGTAATCTTCAAAATCCCCTAAGTGATGAACATCTATTTTTAACAAACCACTGTTTTCTTATCTAGTCCCTCACTTATCTTAGTACAATCTTTGAACCGTTTTTTTAATATTATCGCACGCGTAGAAGAGTATCGAGTAACGTCATGTGTATATTTTAGGAGTAGTCAGACGCCCTGAGTCAACCGCTTCGTTGTTACCTCCAGTACCTAGACCGCGTCCACCTTCCGATCTGAACATGTCCCGTCGCGGGGCACGGGTAAGTGAATTGGTCTCATTTTTCTGTCGAACCACTTCAGACTCATTGTCATCGCTGTTTATCTGTCTACCATTTTCCGGTGTTTACCGTTGTGTTTCTTGGCTCGTTCCAGTATGTCACTACACATAAATATTGCTTTGCTTTTTTACCTCCCTGCAGTGGACAAGCTTACAGCCATATTTCCATTCCTTTAATACAATCATCACCTTTCCCTAATTTCGTTCTGTAACTTCCTTTATTGCCAGTTTGTGCCATGAGGAAACCATGATATCGGTAAAAAAAGTGCGTAGGCTTACTGAACACGCCTGGAACGGGGTTTTGCGTTTGGTGTTCGGTAGTTGCACAAAATGGAGGATCTAGGTTTTTACTGAAGCGGGGAGATAGAGCTGGCCGTGGCTATGAACCCGAAAAGGATGCGTGGATAGGAAAGTTTGCACTCTCATGTCATTAAGAACATCATGGAAATATTAGTGTCTCCCTTCTTGACGCATTAATGTTTCTGAAGACCAAACGAAGTTGTCCATGCGGTGATTCTTCGCGGCTTTTTCTAAATTGAACAATAGCGTTCGTCTTGATATGCTGTTCACTTGAAACGGATGATCTTACAATTTTGAAGCATTTGTGAGAAGCTCGAAACAGATGGAGAACTAATCAGTTCAGGATTTTTAAGAACAGGTGACTTTTTGCTTTTGACGTCGAAGCTTTGTGGGTCCAAATGGCTAGGTTGCGAAGTTGATCAGAGTACTTATCTTCCACACTGCCCAACAAGAAATTTTAGCCCTCATCCAAGGCTGCTTTAGTTAGCTACCAGAGGTTTTGCCAGTGGATTCTCCACCTGTCTTCAAACTCTTCCAAACTTACCCTACTCACGTGGTTTGATGGGGGTTTCCTGTCGAAACAAGCATGTCGTCGACCCATAAACCCAACCGATTGTTCGCCAAAATGCTCCCAGACGCTGGTCTTTTAGTAGCCTAAAGCACTTCGTTTATTCAAGTGTTTTTGTCTTTCAATATGCGTATTCAATGCATTCATCTTGAACTCGCTTATGTTAACTGTCAAAAGTCTTGCTTTGTTATCACATTGGTTTAGAACACAGCTCAAATATTGGTGACGTCTACAGACCCGTGCTCATCCACGCAAGCATCCGAGGTCCCAGTTATCTTTGATGTTGGTGAAAATGATACTACTTCAGCAGACGCCTTTCAGACAGCGCCGGATCAGTACAAACGAACTTGCGTCCAAACTGCTCGGGGCATAGTCACTGAGGAGGTGAGGATCCCTTTTTTGAGCCCGACTGTCTTACTCTCTGAGTCAGCTCGTTGACGGCAACTGTGATACACTGAAATCTTAGCACTTTTATCTAAGTTCGTTAAATGTGGGCACATGTTCCTTAGTTTCTGAAATGAGGAGAAGTTAGGGTTGAGCTGAGCTCTACTGTGTACTTCTTGGTGTTGGACCCAGAATATCTTGTTACGACTAATGAATTCATTCAGTCCCTCACCAGCTCATTTAGTAGTTCTCATAAAGTTGGACGGTACTCTCCGTTTAATGAATTATGTGATTTGCACTCGATTACTCTGATCACCAGCGCATTTTTTGCCACTGTAGGTACTAGCGTCATTACGCTGTAACAAAATGTTTATTCTAATTTATCCTGAGATTCCTTTACATGTTCTTTTTAAACTTTGCTGTGCCCACAAAATTTGCCTCCTGCGCGTACCGCGACCACTTATTTATATACATACTTATCATGTTATAGTATTTTTCGTTTCCCCTTGTTTTAAGGATTTTCCGAGCTACACCCGTCTGCTACACTTCAACACCGCTGTAAGAACAATTTTTCTACGAAACTTCGCCAGCATTTTCCGAGACTACGAAAAGTTTTTGGTTCACGATCAGAATGCACCTGGGGATTCTACAGCCATTGTTTCCACAAGGTCCACTGGCGGTCTTCATGCCTTTGACAAGGTTGGGTTCCTCAGTGATCAACCGGAAACACACTTGCCTTTTCTGTGTGCCTTCTTAGAAACACAGATGTTTGCCGGGTTCCTAGACTGCTGCGTTCGTCGACAGTTGAGCCCAATGGATCCTCCGCAACCTCATCAGTTTGCAACTAGTCCACTGGCATTACTCAATTTACGTATTTTTGACAGCGTCATTGCACAGATTGTTGAATCAGCCATCCGATGGCCCGGAAACCCGACGTCACATGTCACGACTGGCTTGCAGGACGGTGTTCGAAGCTCCCATCGCAATGCGCAAGCTTGCGCTGGCTCCAATGACTCCAAGCCTCATCCGTCGGGTGTGTTACGAAAATTTACCTAATTGACACTCCGCCATATCGACTGAATACTTGCCGTTTTTAAGACCTCAAACATTGCATTGTTGAGTGCGCCAGGGTATATGGTTGTTTTTTTGAAGGCAATCTGCTGAATTCTTTTCATCCTACAGATCCCGTACTATTCCTTTCTTCCGTTACACTCTAGCTCCTCTTCCGGACCTGCTGAGCGAGACCACCACTGAATCCCAGAAGTTAGGACCATCAGGTTTAGAAAGGATTTCAGCGGGATTTCCACGTATGATGCGATCCGTAGACAACGTTTCTCCGAATCCCATGACTCTTCCTATCCGAACCGTGGGTTTAGGATACTTTCCCGTACTGTGTGAACAGCTGCTGACTCCCTCTTTGGCCATACAGACAGGCAGTGGGCTTCCCGTTTGTCACTCTCTCGTTTCCCTGCCACCTAGATTGACTGATTCTTCTCATGGTCGTGTAAACGCCCCCACAAATTCCGCACCCGTGTCTCCTCCATTGGTCAATCTGACCTCCAGTAGTGTCGGAATTCAACCTTCTATCGGACGACTTGGTCCCGGTTCTCTGTCCACCCCCACTAAGCGATCTGCTCCAGTTTTGACTGCCACGAATGGAAACATCCCCTCATCGCGACCAGCCGAGGAAGAAAGTACAGTGGTATGTTTCTCACATATTTCTCATATTTGTTTCTCATAATGGCATTCCTACTATTCCAGACAATATGATTAAGGAAACTTGATGGGACAGACATCAGTTAGAATTCTCTGGGATGTGCGCGTAGTTGTTTATCCGGTAATCAGGATTATATCCATCACAGGACAATACACATGAAGAGCATATGCTTCGTGGTCGAGTGTTTGTATCAAAGTGCATCTGACCTTTCACGGACTGGCTAGCATGTGTGGCCGTACGGCCACTCGTAGGTCACTAGTTCTGTGTACAAAACTAACGACACATACGTGGGGTTAAACTTCTGGACCTGTCGCAAATGGCGACGCTTCGCGGATGTGTCTATCGATCCCTTGAAAATTTTAATGCTGTGCTTCGCCCCAGTCACGATCCTGGCACATTTTAATTACTTTCAGTGGTAAGCTTGATACATTACGAAGTATTAACACGTTCGCCTTTTCAGACGTGATCATTCATGTTAATTGGTGAAGGAGTGATAAAACGCCCTCCTCACATGTCCGACTTTCAAACCCTGGCACAACCATTAAGAACAAAGCTCGAGTCCAGTACTTCCCCTCCTTGGTATGGATTCAGCATTATAATTACGCCAGAAGAGGAGGGGGAGTGAGCGAACGCGAGAGATGTAAACGGTAATTCTACGAATCCCGCAACCACGTCCGCCTCCAACCTTTACTTACAACCAACCTTTACTCCAACCTTTACTCACAATGTCCCCTCGGGGATATTTGTCATGCCTTTTGTTGTACGTGTGCTAGCGTGGTCCCTATAATTTACAGTGCTACGGTAGCCATATTAGCTGGAGTTTTCCTTCAGATTAGTTGAATTGCAGAAAAACACGCACGTGTAGGTTATTCAAGTCAACTGGAAATCACGTTAGGAAATGCGTGCTGTGCACACAGTATAGTAATTGCTCCCAGTAAATGTCCACTACTCATGAATGTTTCTAAGGAGACACCTGCAAAGATGCATGCCGTAAAACGCATGACTTAATCACCCTCTAGTGTATAATTCAATACAGCTCGAATTCATTGACTGGACGGTCTATGTTTCGAAGCTGATCCCAGCATCTCGACTTCTTGTGTCTAGGTTTGGGCAACCTGGCAGTTTTCCAACCCAACTCGTACTTCATTCGCGTGGCATGCCAGCTAGGCAAGGAAAGCGCGCTACAGCTGAACGTTTTTTTGTACAGCACCTTGGATGCTCACTGGTAATAAGTATTGGTCAAAAAAGTGATGATAACTTATTTATGTATTTCAGTGAAAGCAAAAATGTGTGCTTTAATATATGCTTTAGTGTACTTTACGTCTCCACAGAGCCGCCATCTCCCGACGTCAGAGTTGAGGAGAATTTTCTACCACGGCTTTTGCCCGCTTCGTAGAACAGGTTTCGATTTTACAATCGAAGAACCAAGTTATTTTACCCAGTTTCTCTTGGTCCTTCATTATGTGTTCAATGAAAAATAAAATGTGTATATTTCATCTATGTTGGATTGTTTGTTGATTTCACTCCTGTGTATATACCAATAGATTACTGAACTCATTGTTGCTTAATAATTTTCGAAAAAAAGATTGAAGTGTATGAACCTCAACGAAATCAGCCATACCCAGCTTTAGTAAATTTTGCGAGGACTTGGTGGGTTTGTGGAAAGTTTGAACATACGGATCCGATGAGTCTCATTGGAAATTCCGTCAATCAGTGACGGTGGAGATCCGGAAACGCGGATGTTAGAGGCATTGCTTTAATGGCGTTTTATTCTGCGTGTTGTCTGCCATGTGCTAAAAAATCATTTCCAATTCAAGCGGGTGTTTTCGAAGCATATTTGTCTCTTTCATTACATTTTTAACCCTGTATATTCTTCTATTATCGCAGGTGTTGAAGTCGAGAGCTGTCCCATTGTTCGCCAATTCTCATCAGTTTTCGAACATTCAGCGATCAGGGATGGCTCAGGCGAACTGGGATTTTGTTGACGCCTTGCTTGAGGAGTGTAAACATCGTGTAAGCATCCTGTCTACTGACACTGCTTGTTCGTAGCCAATTTCGATTAATGCTTTTGTCCTATACTTTGCTACCTAGCGTTATGACCGGCCTTCCGAAATAATGTTGCCGAGAATTTTACGCAACATTTTCCGTACAACCTCATTTCCTCTTTTGTCATTCATCTCAATTCTCAGCTGTTATCATCACTCACTATTCCCAACGGATCAGTCCAGCTCTCGTTAGCCATTCGGAGGACTGGCATACTTTTTCACGTACACACCCACCCACATCCACACACACAACCTTTCCAGTTGAGAATAGCATTATGGTGATGAGTATCCTAGACATTCAGTTGCTTGGGTGTGCGTGTGCGTTAATTCGCTTTAAATTGCGGGACTGCGACTGATCCACTTAGGATTGCATTTGTTCTAGTTCGGCTCCAATTTGGGCGCTGATCATTCGACCGTGGTGAGAGAAAATCCATAGCAATGGAAACTGTGGGTGGGAACTGGCTCGGTTACTTGCAAGTAATTGCGAAATTTGTAGAATTTTCGTCCACGTCATTTTTTATGTATCTTCTCTTATGGCCCGATTTTTCGGGTTAGTCTGCAACTGGAGGTCGCTCCTATTAGGCCTCACTGGCAGTGTAGGACAGTTCAAATTGTCTGTTCAGGAGTCTAGCGTGATTTCGGGGGTATAGGCAACACGCGTGTCCCATGTGTCAGATGCGCGGAACTCAATTCCCTCGCACGACCGAACATATGCGCAGCTGATGAGCTTTGATAAGAGCAGTACTCTAGTTAATGCTCCCTCCCTTCTATATGTACTTGCTAAAACAATCGCGTCAGGACAGGGGTGACTGTTCCAGTCGGTGTGACATGACTCCAACCTGTTTAGTTGTAAATCCTTTCATGTGTTGGTCCTTCATAACTCGGGTTCGAATTCTAACGCGAACATCTGGTTGGTGATTGATCCCCAATCTGGTTTCTGTAACAAGGACGTAAAGTTATTTACATGCCAATCTGGTTTTGACGGGAGACTCAGCTGTAACCCAGATGAATCTGGGTTTATGATGTTCTTAAGCAACCCTATGAGTAGTGCATTACATTCATATGGCTCAAAATGTACTTTGTCCTCTTTCTTTTATCGAGGACTAGGCCTGTCGTGTGGAGTTCACCATGAGTTTCGTTCCCGTGGAGGTCATATCTAGAGCTCTTTGGAGCTTCATTTTCTCAGACCTTTTTATTCAACCTCCCCTCTTAGGTTACAGCATTATCGACTGCTTTTTGGCCGTTTTGGGTGGCTCGTTGCTGAGAGGAATACTTGTGAAGGGTGTCTTTACCACACATAGCTTGGTTTGTGGTTTACCATGTCTAGTCAGTGTCTGGTTTTGACTCTGGAATCCTGAATTTCATGTTTCTTGAACTCTGAATTAAAAATCTGCACTTTTTTGCGTTGGAGTGCCAACCTTCTCTAACACACTGACTATCCGCTGAGCTGTCCGAATTTGATTGAAAATAGCTGATTCTTTGACATCCAACAAAAGCGAAATCGTGAAATTTTTCTGAAAGAGTGATTTGGTGGTTTCGCAAAGACGGGTTTGTTCAGGCGTGCATAACAAGACACTTTTCCGAGTTGTATGCGAAACAAGATGCTGGCGAACTGTTGTCCTGCAGCAAAGTAGCCTCGCCCTTTATTTGTCCGTCCGTCCCATGCCAGATTGGTTTGTTGCTGCCATCTCGCTTCCAAGATGTACATCTCTGGGCTGGTCCTGCATCACTGTGTCTCATGTTCCGCCGTCATTCCCTCCGGAAGAGCTTATGGCACTGCTTGGTTATGTTCTTTGTTATCGGTGTTGTCAGATGCCATAACAACTTTTCCGTTCTTACAGCTTGAACTACAGCGAGCCTTAGATGCGTCAACAATGTTATTCACGCGGAGGGTAACGAGGGGGAGGTCGCAACTATCGTACAAAAACCACCTTCTCTCCTCTCCTCTATCCACGGTATGAACAGTCATTCCTTATCGTCTTCCGCCCATCTGTTCCCTTCTTTACAAGGACAGCAATATCCTGCAATAGTTTTCCCACAACTCTAATCCTCTGGTTGCTTCTCAAACTAGTGCTTCCGTTTTGAGAGCCTAAGCCCACTTGTCACCCTCTTTCTACCCTAAGTCGATTACTGTCCATAAAAAATACCCTTCCTGGATTGACATATTTTTTGCTCCGCTCAA